AGATTAGCACTTGGATAATAAATACAGGTACTGGTAAAAAGGAAAATACTTTAAAGTACAATAATTGAAAAGATTACTTATCTAGTCTTACGGAAACAAAGACGTACTAAATACAACAGTATACATTAGCTTAACTGTAAAATACTAAGACTATCGTAATGCAACTTTTGTGCTCAAATACACAACCATTGCAGTCATCTACAATGCCGTAACAGTAGGGAAGTACAAATAATTCCTACACGAATACTAAATAAATGTATACGACACAAAATAACATACTGATATGTATGATGTATGGGCCAAATACGAATGAAAATCGTACATAAATTGTGGAAATATAGTAGTAAGGTCAAAAAGTCAGATGGCTGTCAATCAGCCATCCTTGACCAGATTTTGAAACAAATTGTCATGGACATGCTTCCTAACATGAATAAAGTACATGTATGTGCCAAATTTGAATGAAAACTGACAGAGCATGTCCAAGATACCGCATAAAAAAAACAACAAGATGCCTGCCAGTCTTTGATCCAATTGCGAAATAAATTGTCATGGACATGTATCCTAACATGTATACCATTAAGGTCCTAATATAAACAGCATACGTAATAGTAACCGCACCCCCAATTCCGACTTTGGGGTTGAAGAGTTCTTAACAAAAATTGAAAAGTACCTATTACTACCGGTAACCACACCCCCAATTCAACAAGACCGTGACTGACTTCATTGTTTCAACCAGCTGGTCCAAAATGGCATTGTTCCTAATCCTATTCATTTGTTTCGACAACGTGCCTAAAAATAGTCACACCTATTTGTTGTTCAGTGGTGATAAGATGTCAGACAGGCAATGAAACTGCTTTTGTTCTGGCGGCGACCTCTGTCAATACTCTTTCTGAATACGTCTGTGTTTCGTAAGCTTTCGACAATGAACTGTTATCACTGTAAATGTGTTAAATTCTTCTTCAATGCTCAGTTTATCTTTCGAAAACAAATAATTTCTTGATTTAAAAAAAAAATCGTGCCGTTTTCCCATGGAAATCAAAGCCAAGAGATCGCACTATATTATCGGTAAATCTCTTCCGTGTTCACCATGAGGTCGCTCAACTTTCATTAACATATTTCAATGAGCAATGTAATTTAGACACGTGGGCACCATCCAGCATTTTCATTGGTTAATTAGCGACATGACCTATTCGGTCAATAAAACGTCACGTGTGCATTCAAAAACATAGCGGATAGCGTATCATATCGACCGTTTACATGTGACTGAAATCATTCGTTTACAGTGAAACTAAGTTTAATTTTACTTGCATTTCATAACAATTCAACGGATTTATTTTTTGTGCGTTATTGTAATCACTACTGAATAATAATCACCAATTTAAGCACTTCGAAAACAAGTAAGTTATTCACTTGTGAACCACAGCATGGCCGGATTGCACTACTGTTCCGTGATCATTTGCTACTAAAGCAGTGCATTTGTGTTTGTTTTTATTTGAAACTTCTGTTAAAATATACTTTTCGTTACCAAGAAAATTAAAAAAAATCAATGCATATTACATTAAATATACTAAGTATTTTTTTATCATGTGTACAGTTTTTTTGATTGACTCTAATTTTTCAACATTTCGTAACGCCTATTTTAGAACCAAAGTAAGGCCTTTCACTCTTCCCTGATGCTTATTCAAGAGATTGTACGGTGTATTGTTTGTTTTGTGCCCATTTAGTGATTGCAATATGTACGTAATAGAAATCACACCCCGAACTTGAGCTTTTGATCCCAATTTTCAAATTGATACATTGTGATATAAAACGCGGTTTATATTAGGACTTTAACGATAATCTATGTACCAAGTTTGAATGACAACTGACAAAGCATGTCCAAAATACAACATTTTCAAAAAACAAGATGGCTGCCAGTTGGCCATTTTGAATCGAATCGCTAAACCACTGCATGTGAATATGTCCCACATAAGGTACTAGGCACATGCAAAGAATGAACGGAATCGGTCCAAGGGATTCTGAGATATGACTCTGGACGGACGCATGGACGGACACACGGACGGACGGACAGATTCAAGAACTCACGGATGGTCGGAGACATGTATCCTAACATGTATGATCTATGTACTAAATTTGAATGAAAACTGACAAAGCATGTCCAAAATACAACATTTTCAAAAAACAAGATGGCTGCCAGTCGGCCATCTTTGATCCAATTGTGAAATAAATCCTCATGGACATGTATCCTAACATGTATAATCTATGTACCAAGTTTGAATGAAAACTGACAAAGCATGTCCAAAATACATTTTCAAAGAACAAGATGGCTGCCAGTCGGCCATTTTGAATCGAATCGCTAAACCACTGCATGTGCATATGTCCTACATAAAGTACTAACCACATGCAAAGAATAAACAGAATCGGTCCAAGGGATTCTGAGATATGAATCCGGACGGACGTACAGACGGAGACCGAATTATAAGTCCCCGTTTTCGGACTTCGTTCGAACGGGGACTAATAAGTTTGATTACAATGTAGATCCGGGAAATGCACAACAGTAAAATGTCACAGTCAATTTATGCACTTTCTACTTGATGCTGAAGGTCACACGAATCAAAGTTTGGTAAATGTCTGAGAGGGTAAACAAGTCAGTCCGACTGGATGTCGACAACAGAAAGTCAAGTGATACGAACGAAGAACAATCTTTACTTTAGTTGAAATCTCGACGGGACAACATAATTGGTCGAGTCGATCTACTGGAAACAGTTATTACTGGCGTACAAAACAATTGTACTCACAGTAACCTGGATACTTGGTTCAACCACGGTTTCGTTCAACATAATGACAACAGCAGACTGCAACCTCTGCGGTCGACCCACACAACCACAACTTTCGGAAAAGATTTCTGCAAGTCACTAAATTCCACGACAACACGATTTCGTCTGTCCCAAGAGTTCCACAACATCCATAACCACTTTAGTCTTTGGAAGGAATTCAGTCGATTTAACAGAAGAATCGACCTGCCCACACAGACGGAAACAATTCGACTGACCGACACAGGAACGCACAGACTTATTCATAAACAAAGCTATTCCAACACCATACTATAGATGGCACTCTATAAACTGCCACGGTAGAGTTTTGGGGGGCTAATTTGCATAATTTTTGGCAGATTGACTTCTCATGAACAAATTACCATCTACACTCATCAAGGCATCCACACACCAAAAATAGAGTCAAACGGTTCGGTGGTTTTTGAGAAGAAGTCGTGCACAGGCAGACAGACAGACAGACAGACAGACAGACAGACAGACAGACAGACAGACAGACAGACAGACAGACAGACAGACAGACAGATAGATAGATAGATGGACGACAGACGCAGGACAGAAACCCATAGGAATCACCAAAATCACCAAAAATACAATTTTGGGCATAACAGCACCAACAAATTAATTGGTCATCAATGTTTACAGATTGACTAAATATCTATTAGGATCTGCTAAATATTATCAGAGTTATTGCATACACAAGAAAAGTTTACAACAACAATGACAACGGCGGCCGAAAAATAAAAGAAATACAAATCAAGCTGTTGATATTGATAATAATCCAAATGTAGAAGTAATTACCTGCAGTTGAGATGACACTTTCTCTTTTTTGACATGCTGGTGTGGTAACACTTGAAAATAGCACATCAAATACATCATAATAGATTTTTTGTCTGGTTGATCACAGTTGACATCTATCAATGGAATAAATAACTTATTTTTCATATGATTCAGTGTGTTGAGAATGAGAAATGTTGAGATTTGAAAACAATATTCAGAAAATAATTAAATATCTATCACCTTATCCAGGGACCATTTTACTGTAATCAGATAACTTACCTTCTGCATCTAACAACTTATCAATTCCCAATATGTCATATGCAACTCTAAATGCATGATCCAATCTATTGTCGTTATTTAACATCATTACATCTTCATATCGAAATAAATCAGGTCTAAAAAATAAAACATAAGAAAATATTTATGTGGTAAAGTTGATTGCCTTGGCCTTGAGCAGTTAGTTTAATGGAGACGCCATCTTCTTGCATCTTAAATGCCAGTGAAAAGCTTTATACAAAATCAGCCAATAATAGATTGTGAATCTATTATGATGTATTTGTGCTCAGTAACAAAATTCCATTACAACATGTTTGTTGCTGCATGAGCCAGACAGGAGACATGTCCTGCATTGTAAAATTGGACCAGACAGGAGACATGTCCTGCATTGTAAAATTGGACCAGACAGGAGACATGTCCTGCATTGTAAAATTGGACCAGACAGGAGACATGCACTCTCTTATTACTAAATTAAGTCATTTGAGTTTGGCGATAAAATAAATATTCTGTTTTTGCTTCTAAATGATTTGTGTTCTTACCTGTATTTATGAATGAGAGCATTGAAAGCATAACCATCTCTCCAGGATGTAGTGAAATTTTTAATATCCACATGGCTGTACCTGATAAAAATATGGTGGAAAACATTTATTCATAATGTTGGTATTCAGTTTCAGACCTTAAAGGGGAACTGCTCAATCCCATGCAGGGGTTTTTCTAGAAAAAAATAACTATAAATAATAAGAGGGAGCACACACAGGCGCGGAGCAACCTGGCAAATCGACCTGGAAACGTCATTTCGGAAGGCTGGTGTTGCTGGGAAGTTTACATGGAGAAAAATACATTTCAGAAAGATTTCAAGTTGTACAGCAGCACGGAAGTGAGCAGCTCAAGAAATATATTTCTGACTTGAAAGTTCAATCGCCAATTCGGTAAAA